AATAGGTGTTTGCCTCGCGATTGCACTAAAACTGTTTGAAGTGTTTTATTAGTCTTAGAGGTGGCGATTACGGCCACTCTATTGCCATATGATATCTCATTGCGATTTATTTTCTCAATTAAATCCATAAACAAGAGTCCGATTCGTTCGGAATGTAACGCTTCGGCACTCGTCTCCTGTCCGGGCTTTGAGGGCATCGAAGCGATCGCATCCAAGTCTTCGAATACAAGCACTGATGGCTGTCTGTGAAGACATTCAGCCATACATTGATTCCAACTCTTTTGTATTGTTTCGATTCGTTTGCCTTTCAATGAAAGGCAATCAATATAATTGACAAAAATAAAATACGGATAATCTGTCAACTTCTCAATTAAAGCGCTCACTAAATGACTTTTTCCGCTCCCTTTCTGACCGTATATTAATAGAGAGCACATCTTAAGAGATGACATATTTTGCAAATATTGTGATAATTCATTGCATTTTAATGAGAATATTAAAAAATTTAGACATTTCTTGAATATATCATTAAAACCAGCGAATGGCTTGTTTTGGTACTGAATATTATGAGTCGCTTTCAGTTTTAAATCAATGTCTTTGAGTCGAGAAATGGGTAACGGATTCTCACAAAATGGTTTCTGAAGAGCCATAACAGGTTCGCAGATAGTAATCGATAACTGTTTGACAGACATTAAGGTAATAACATAAGCAGATGTGCCGTTCTTATGGTATGTAAAAAAGTCAGTTTCGCACAAATGAATGAGTGAACCGTTGATTAGACATAACATTTTGGACGACGTCTTATCGATGAGACGAATCAAATCGTTTTTAAGTAAATCATTCAAAACTTTACTCTTTTTGGGGGATATATTAATGGGACAAAGAGTTAGCGCTGTTATCACCGGAATTGAAGTTTCATTGATTGGGTTCAGAAATATTCTGGATGTGAGTGAAAAACCCATTTGTTTCCTCACTGTATCACAAATAAAAAGTGAAGAATTTGGACATCGATTGTGTCCGCAAACCATAACTACTGTTTCCTTAAAATCCATTTGTGAGATGTGTTGGGAAACACTCAAAGCATCCTTTGATGCACTGTTTGTGTCGCTTTGTCTCTCATTCTTCTGGTGTTCTCTCTTTCTTTCATTTGGCGACAAAATATGAATCAATTTTGAAATAAAATAATTGTTTTCGCAGTTATTGAACACTTGATTGGACACGAAGACAGTGTTGATCGCATCCTTGTCTTCATCTTTATCATCAAAAAAGGGCAAAACTCTAAGCACTTCATTGAAATCAATCCCCGTTTCAATTTCGATGCAATCGGAAGACTTTAAACACTCGTTGGAGTTAATGCTTGGCATTTGTTTTGACTCTTCGGGCGGAGTATTAGTGATAAATGATTTAACGAATCCAAACATCGACGACACCATCGATTGGCTTGAATTGTAGTTTAAATCATTTGATGCAATGCTTTGAGAATCAGTGGACAACCTATCGGTGGGCTGTAAATCATTATCATCGCTGCCATCGATGGTATTGCGGACAGTCTTCGGCGGACAAACGATTACTTCCGTCAGATTATTGAGAATAACAGCCTTTGATTGAATTGGCGTCAAATGAAAGCATTCAACAAATAAACACACATTTGACTGATTTGTGATCCAAACGGGAAATATCTGTCCCAACGCGAGGACACGGATCTGATTCAAGAGATTAGTCTCAATGAACGCCGAATTCATGGACAGTATCTGCCAATCGTTGTCAGAGATGGGCTTCAGATAGCATTTGAATGCATTAGTGATGCCATTGGCGGACGGGTTCGGGACATAAGTGACCAAAACCTGCTGTTTATGACTAAAACCCAATTTGTTGGCAAACAGACCATTCACTTGAATAGTGTTATCCGATTGAGTCGTGTCTCCACTCCAAGACATCACCACTTCTTCGCTCTCCTCTTCTCTCAACGATTTGATGCGAAAAATGGATATTTTCTGAAAAATTTAATACAAATTAAACATTAATTGCAATTAAATGTCAATTATTTGTTGGGATTTTTGGCTCAAAACAATACATCATTGGTTTTGTTGATCCACTTCTTCGGGATTGATATAAAGCATGACTTCTTAGACGTGAACTCGATTTCTGACACTTCAATAAAACTCATTTCAAACTAGATTTTAATATTTAATTCACTTTTAATTACAATTAACTTATAATTCAATACAATTTTTAAGGTAAAAATTTACATTAAATTCAAGTAAAGTTTCATTTCATTCATAAATTACGTAAAAATAAGTTTTATTTTTGTATTGATTTGAGTGAAGGACTAGAGATGGCCTCAGAGTTGACACAAATATCAATAAAATTGGGGGGTTTTGGGGGGGCTTTAAATGGTATGGTTTGGGTTACAACTTATTGTATACACTATTATGATAGAAACTTTGTGATCAATAGTTTGAGTAATTCTAACAAATTGATCAAGGTAACAACATGTTATTTTATTCATCATTGAAAGTTAAATTTCATATAAATGTTTTTTTTTACTAATTTTTAATAAACGAACTCTACTTATATTTATTTGCTATATATAAAATGATCTAGTCTAGACAATTTCCAGTTGTGCCACATTTAATAAAATAACGTGAAAGGTTATAATATTATATTACATGTAATTTATACTATGAATAAAAACTAACCAGGTAACATATCGTTCACAATGTATAAATTTATAAATTATTAGCTCTATGGATAAGTCTTTGCATTAAATTAGCCATAAAAAGAAAATTCATTTTTTTAATATTTAAAATAATAATCCAAATTATGAAATAGCCATCATTATCGGCAACTATTGGCCATCATTCTGATAAATTTTCATTTAATTCCCGATAAAAATGGCTGCCCTGCGAGTCAAAGAAGTGAGTGATGTCTGTTTCGACCACTA